TTTTTTTTGAGAGAATAATTTACTTCTTTCTGTTTCCAGGTGATCGGAAGCAAGCGCGGAACCTGTGGATTTAACGAAAAAGAAAACGGATTTGGGACTGATTATTTCTTCTCTTTTGACTTGTACCGGTTTGCTTCGGCGTACATGAACATTTGCTAAAAAACAAAAACTAGAAAGAGAGACAGACAGAGAGAGAGAGAGAGAAAATAAAAGGCAAGCGATGGAAGTAAGTGCGGATCAGCCACGATGGATGAGCCATCATCCCGCGGTGTTGAACGAGCAGCATCCCGGCTCACATCACCCGGGCCTCGGTCACTCGTACATGGACCCTTCGCAGTATCCCCTCGCTGAAGATGTGGATGTACTCTTTAATATCGATGGACAGGGGAACCACGTCTCTCCATACTATGGAAACTCAGTCCGAGCCGTCCAGAGGTACCCTCCTCCTCCACACAGTAAGTAATCGGCCCGTTTAGGCCTTTTATTTAATAATGTGCACATTATCCTCTTCAGATGCTTGTGCGTAATTGCGGAAAAGGCTCCATTACTGCCGCTGTGTTTGGAATTATTTGTATAATCTAACTGTGATCCAGACCAGGTTTCGGTTTTGGCTTGTGCTGTCTTTTAGGAAGAAAAAAACCCTCTGAGAACTCAAGTGTTGTGAAACCACGGCGTAAATATATATCTTTGGTCTCTGTGTGCCGCTTAATTCACTGTTCATTCCCGTCTGAACTTCACACACCACACTCGTAGATGTCGGAGAAGTTTTTCCGAAAAGCCGTGCGTAATTTCTTTTCTGGATCAGTCGAGTTTAAACACATAGTTGGCACAGAGGTCACACGCAAACACACACCTGGAATATTTTTGGTAATGTTTTCAGTTCTGGGCGCATGCACGGCATTTATCTCGTATTGTAATGTGCTGTTCAACAGCGCGCAGTCATTTGTGGAGTTTCCTATATTGTAGGTTTTAACTTCCTGACCTGTCAATCACGGCGTAGTTTCTTCTTTAAAGGCGTTTGAATTACTAGTTATTCGGTTGTTGCATCAGGGGCCTGTTCAGAGGGAAAATTACACACGTGAAGGGGGTGAAATGATTTCCACGGAGTATTTTAAACAGACGGCTGGATGCAGGTTAGATGAGCTGGAAATTAAAGAAAAAAAAATACATGAAAGGTCGCTCAGTTTATTGGATAAATCTGTGCGTAAATGTGCACCCAAAGGCCCAAAGCGTGTGAATGGCAAACTGAATTTGTATGTTTGTTGCTGCTGCAGACTGAAGTCAGGTTGTGATCTTGTTCTGTTTTCTGTGTGCTGCCTCAGGTAGCCAGGTGTGCCGTCCCTCATTACTGCCCAGCTCTCTGCCCTGGCTGGAGGGGAGCAAAGGAATCGCCCCGCACCACAGCACTTCTCCCTGGAACCTGAGCCCTTTCCCCAAGAACCCCCTGCACCACGGCTCCCCGGCCAGCCTGTCCGTCTACCCCCCGGCCTCCTCCTCCTCCCTGTCCACCGGTCACTCCAGTCCGCACCTCTTCACGTTTCCCCCGACCCCTCCGAAAGACGTATCCCCGGACCCGGGCATATCCACCCCGGGCTCCAGCAGCTCCGGGCGGCAGGAGGATAAAGAGTGCATAAAGTACCAGGTGACCCTGGCCGAGAGTATGAAACTGGAGTCAGCTCACAGCCGGAGCGTGGCATCAATCGGAGCAGGGTCATCCTCTGCCCACCACCCCATCGCCACATACCCACACTATGTCCCCGAATACGGCCCAGGCCTCTTCCCACCAAGTAGCCTGATAGGTGGGTCATCTTCTAGTTATGGTTCCAAAACAAGACCAAAAACAAGGTCCTGTTCAGGTAGGCGTGCGCTTTATTACATTCCCTTTTGATCTAACATTATTCCCCAGATTTGCAGCCTTTAACGATCAGCCATGTTTAAGCTCATATTCAAAAAAAAAAAAAAAGCCCATAATCAGCACATTCATCCCTCTCATGAATAAGCTTTTGCTTTTTGGGCTTAAGGCCATGCAGGTCAACCTGTATTCTAAACAGGCGCATCAGAATGCCTCCAAACTTTCTCTTTCATCACCTCAAATAATAATAATAATAATACAAATAATAATAACACTAGTTTAGGATTATAATATTTTTAAAATGAACATAAGCAGGCCTTAAATTGTTTAATAAAGAAATTTAAAATATGGAAAAATGTGAATAAAATTTAAAACTATAAAAACAAATCTCTCTTTTTCAGGATCTTCTCTGTATTTAATTCTAACAAACTGAAATCGTCGTGACGCGCACGAGCTCCGAGTTGATTCTCACATTAATTTGGGTCATTTTTTTTTTTTCTTTTTTCATTTTCTCTCTCCACCAACACAGAGACAGAGGGTGAAGCCAGCTCTCTGGGCTGTGTCGCCCCGTTTATATGTTTAAGATAATCCCATTACTGTCAGACCAGTGCGCGCCACAGTTGCATTGTTTACGCAGCGCTGGAGCTCCGGATGCTGCTCGTTCATTCACAGGGAGAGAGAAAAAAAAAGAGGAAAGAAAAGCGGGTGAACCGTCGCCGTGTCAGAGAGCACGAACCGGAGAGAGAGAGAGAAGGGCAGGGATGTTTCCAAACTGTGAGGAGCGGAGGATAATTATTTTAGAGGTTATTTGCAGCTGAAAAGCAGTTTTTTTTTTCTTCTCTCTTTCTGTAATGAGATTAATATCAGCGCCTTTGATGGGGAGGATAGAAAACAGTGGATTAGTCGATGCATATCATCGGGGGATTATTCAGCAGCATCATACAGTGGGGTCATTAATGCAAATAAAGATTTTAATTCGAGGATCATGTGAGATAATGTGCATTTAAAGATATTTCTAATGAGGTTATCAGCGCAGTGCAACTTCTTCACATCGTGCAGCGACTGAAACACACCCTGCAACAGCTGCATTGCAGAGGCCTGCGTTTTCTCCAGGATCTGATTTTCTTCTCTTGCCAAAAAAAAAAAGAAAGAAAAGAAAAGAAACACTTGTTCAGGTGCTTGCATGTCTGTCACATCTAAACGACCCGGACTGACGCATCTCTTTCTCTTTGTGAAGAAGAAGAAGAAGAAGAAGTCTCGGGCTTTTTCTCTCTCTCTGTGTTTTTGCAGCTCGCTTGAGAAAAAAAAACAGAAAAAAAAAAACAGGGGGAAGTAAGTGTGGCTGCATGAGAATGCAAAAGGCTCTCGGCGTTGCACAAAAAAGCCCTGTGTGAGTCTCTGCTTTCAAATAATCTGAGTGTGACTGCAGCGCCCTTGTTTCAGTTTCAGGCCCCCCAAATACCAGAATCAAACTGTTAGTGCGCGTCTCACCTGTCGGTGTCACTAGAGAAGTGCCAGTCAAAGCTGAACACCCCCTCAGTCACCTGCAAACAAAGACACAAACA